TTTACACGCAATTTTGAAGACTTTCGAACATTTACAATTCAATCCCTCAAGCAGACAGAATTCACCGTCCTGTCGTTTGAGGTCGCTTCACGTACTCGTATGTATACATAAACTGAAGTAAGGAAACCTGGTAACACAGTGTTGTATAGCCGATCATCTACTCGGCACTCGTAACTACATTGGTCAAGATAATTTTGAATTTGTAGTATGATTTTCGGCAGCTAAAAAAATATTTGCATGTTATTTTTCCCTTTTTATTGTTAATATAGTGTAGGTCGATCGGCCAGAAACAAGTATTAGTGATTTGTTTTTTGAGCCCTAATGAGAGAGTGGCGGAGCCAGTTATTTTAAAACATAACATATATATTACTTTATACGATAGTATCACGGTCCTAAAACATCTTTTCAAATACTAAAATAAGGACACATTTCTGAATTGTGACGATTACAATCATTTATAGACCAAATTGATCATTGTCTTCAATGATAACAAATTTCAGTACAGTTCTACGTGTGGATTATTATATTTTTATACAAAATACGAAAATTGAGTAAATTGTGAGCAAGTTTAAATACTTCACGTAGTTGGTCTAATAAATGTCACGTCATATCGCATTGATAAGTGTCACGTTCTGAGATCGCACAAAAAACTTGAACTCCATGAAAACATTTCAACAGATTTTGTGAATTTTGATCATTTTTACGCCCAGATTTTATTAATTAAGACGCAAAATCACAAAAGCATCTTGCTGTGATAAGAATCCGTATAGCCAGAAAAAAAAATGTTTATTTGAAATAGTTATATATTTTGTATTTTTTGACAAATTCTGATATTTTAGGTTCAATTTTTGTTTTAAAATTCCAAAATAGTAGTAACATAATGAAGAATGTTGCACGCTTTATCAAAATCGAAGATGACAACCCTATGATTTTATTTTTTGTGATGATAGAACATTTTTTTAAATGCACTTCTGCAATTTCAAAATGGAAAATGACTATGAAGAATCACTTCACAGCACGGAATTGTCCAAACTTTAGATTTGACTCAGGAACTCATAGTGATTTAAAATAAATAGGACAATTTATGAACACAGTTTTGACATGTTAACTGTGGTATAATCTATAGAGTAGAGAATGTATACTTTCAAACAATGGACCCCACCCCCTCCTCACTCCAACCAAGCGTTTATTTTTCTACCACAAGAGGGATAACTGAAAATTTACTGTTTGTTCTTATTACAGGCTGATGTTGGCGGCGGCGGTGGTGATGGCGGTGGCGACCAACACACGTCAGGTTCTTCTAAGCAGACAGCGTCGAGGACGCCATACTTTGTACTGGGGGCGTTGATTGGAATTGCGTCAGCAGTAATTTATATACAAGGTGCGTAGATTACACAATGATCATATAGTCAACCTTCCAATGTTTAATGAGGTAGTAAGATAAATGGAACGTGCCGTATGCAAAGACGTTGTCATGGTGGGTTCATTTATTCTGTTTTATTCGCAGTAAATGGCAAG